AAAGAAGGGCCAGCAAAGAATAAAGGGAGAGAATAGAAATAGGATAGTAGTTGAAACTGAGAAAACAAAAATACAATAAAGAGAATCGGAGAAACTAACAATCAGACAGGAAGACAGAGGGAGCATAATGAAAGAATGAAAGAAAAGTAGAAAAAGAAAAAAGAAACAGAAGAAAAACGTTATGCCAATGGATTGAGAGGAGAGAGAGAGATAAAGCCCTGGCAGGGAGGGAGTCCAGTAAGAGATTTGGGGGAAACTATAGAGGGAAGCAGTAAACTTGGATATAATGATAAAGTCTCAGTCGTTGAGCAGGGATATCAAGAAAGTCTTGATATTAGAAGCAAGGATACAAGAAAACAAAGCAACTATCCAAAACAAAACGAAAAGACAAGCAAAGCAAAACAAAATTCTTTTATAAAAAGGAGAAAAAAAAATTTAGTTAAAAAAATGTAGAAAAAAAATTATTATAAAATTTAAAAAAGAAGAAAAAACAAAGGAAAAAATAGAAAAAATAAACAAGCCCACAACAAAAAACAAACAAAAAAATTCCCCAAACCAAAAAAACCACAAAACCATACAAAAGGAAAAAACAGCAGAAAAAAAAAGGTAGTTGATCAGGTGAGTTTTATCTGGGCAACTTATGTTGTCTAAGGGTCACTGTTTTTTGTGATTTCCGTTCTCCTGGGAGGTGCTTGTGTATCAGCCAATGTGAGGAGCGTCTGGGTTTGGCTCTGGTGTCCTTAGGTAGATGGTTGATCTGAGGCTCTCCATGGACCACCTCCTCTTGTCAGCTATTGTGCAACCTTGTAGTCGCCTGGTCTTACTCCAGAGTCTTCTGTAGAGTCTTTAGGGTGCAGGGTGGCTAGTGTAGCTCAGGGTATCACTCCCTCTAGAGGTTTCGCTGTCAGGCGCTCACTCTGCGGGGGTTAGTCTCTGTTCCAACGTCAGCTCCTCAGTCCCTACCCTGTCCTCTGATTCTAGTTCCCTGGGCTCTGTCCTGCTGCAGCTTCAGATTGATTTCAGCCTGTTGCCTTTTCTGTATGGGCCATTTCAGCAGCCTGGGCTCAGTGGATCCGATTAAAAACACCTTCTGGTGAGCCCTTTGCCTGCCCAGCCCCCAGCAGGGGTTTTCAGCGTTTCCTCCAGTTCCCAAACAACAGTCCCTGAGAGTCTTATTCTTATAAAGTCCTCCTGTGAGCTGCTCTCCCTTCCCCCTCAGGACTGTGCCCTGGGGGATGTCTGGGGCTTCAGTGAGCGGGGCCACCCCTTTCCTATGGGGGGGTTGCTCCCAGCTGCAGGAGAGGCCGGTGGGCTCCACCCCTCCCTGCTCAGTTCTGGTTGGTTGGTCGCAGCAGGCCCGCCCCTCAGACCGTCTCCAGTGCAGGCCCCAACCCCAGCCTCTGCTCATCTGTCCCTGCGGTGCCAGCTAGCCGGGAAGGTGGGAACAGTTCCCCAATCAAACTTGCAAATGCACAAAGCAACACACAGGCAGAGAGTCCGCCCTGCAGGGTCTCGCCACCCTCGCTCCAAGGCACCTAGAGGGAGGGGACCCAAAGTCAGCTCCAAGCAGCTCCCTGCCCTGCTGGTCTCAGCAAAGCTGGAGTGGCTTCAGGCCCCACCAAGGCGCCCCTCAGGGCTGGGTGCAGGTCTCAGCCTCCCGGCACCTGGAGCTCAGGGCAGGGAGGGCTCCTCCTCTTCCCCGCACCACGCAGATTCCCCGCTTTTGGGGCTCAACACAATGCCCCTCAGGGAGGCATAGGGTCCCCGTGTGCGGCTGCTCAGCCCAGACCTCTGGTCCCTTACCACTTGGGTGCCACAGCCCTTGGGACAGCCTTCCCTATGGTCAGCACCCCGAGCACCAGACGCTGGTCACAGCCACCAGTAGAGGCTTTGTTTCCTAGGAAGGTGCCGTCCCCTCCCAGACTCACCGCTCCCCTGGGATCCTCTGCCCTGTGCATGGGGCGCTCCTTCTCCTCGTTGCTCTGGGTGTGGGGTCCCCGCTATTAGATGCAGTCCGCACTCTCGAGGGGAGGGAGCTTTGCAGCCTCCAAGCCTCCAGGCTCGGAGCCCAGCACAGGCTTCAGGGGGTCTCCCCCTTCCTATGGCCCCCCATTCTTACTGGACTCCGTGATGTGTCTTTAGTGCTCCCCACTCGCACTCTGTCCATTCAGGTGTGTTTCTCTGATTTTTTCAAGCTGGTTATGTAGGATTTTAGGAGTAAATCGAGTCCGTGGCTGGGAGCGGGGGCGCTCTGCTGCTTCTCACAGCACCGCCATCTTCAGGTCTCCAAGAAAATTCTTATGTGCTATATATATATATATTGCAAATTTTTTGCTTCAAAAAGTTATACCAGTTTTCAATCACACCAGCAATCCAAAAGGTTTTCTGTACTCTACACTGCCAACAAAATGAGTATCTTTACTCATTTATTTTGCTAACTAATGGGTGAGAAATGCTATTTTATTGTTGTTTTGATATGCACTTCACTGGTTATTAATAACATGTAGTATCTTTTCAGATGTTTACCGACCATTCTAATTGAATTGCCTCTCCCAAGATTTTGTTTTTTCTTTTGGATTTTTATTTTTATTTATTTGCCTTGTGTATTTATTTTTAGTCTATGGCTCATCATTCTGCCTTTTTTCTTCTACTATGATCAGTTTTGGGGAACTTGTGTTTACTATAGGTATTAACCCTTTATCTGTTCTATATGTTGCAAATATGCCACCCAGCCTATTGCTTGTGATCTTCCTTTGTTTGTGGGATGTAAAAATGAAATTTTTATATAATCATTATATTCATATTTTCCTTTCTAGGTCCTCAGATTCCTCCCTTTTGCCTCTCACATTCACTATAGGAGTACTATAATATTCCTATAGTATTTTTAAAATTCTATTTACATTTAAGATGCCAATCCAATGCTTTCTGTTACTTAAATGTCTTGCATTAGTCCAGTTTTATCACTGCTTCATTTTTTTTCTTTTATTGCAATTTTATGCTGACTCAAGGAATGTTTAGTTAGAATACTTTCACATTATATGCTTTAGATAGAATATGCAGATGGAAAGCTTTCTGAATCTGCATATCTGCAAAGGTCTCTTGTTTTCCTCGTTGACTAACATCTTTGCACTGTGTAGTATTTGTGAGACATATTCCTTTGCTATAAATTTTTATAATTTGATATAGTCCATTGTAAGTGAATTTTCCAGTATGTTCTCTCTGTATGTGGTGTTATATTAATCCTCCCTGATATATCATAAGTTCCTTGATTTTTTAATTTTATTTTTAAGTCCCTACACATTACTTACTCCACGGAAAATCTGTGGTTTCTTCCTGGGTCATTTTGTTCTGCCCTGTATATCATAGTTTTTTCTATAACTGTTTCAAAATCTTTGTTTTTGCTGTGTATTTTACCAGGATCTGTTCTCTTTATTGGCTGGGCCTCTTGTCTATTCTCAGTAACCAAATTCTCTTTGGTGCATTTATTAAATTAGTCAACTTTGCCTGTCATGTATTTTAGAGTCAGAGTGTTCTTTTTTTTTCCTTCAACTGATATTCTTTGACAGCTTGTTAACGTTTCTTGAAAATATGATTATTTTCTTCAATTCATGCTACTTCATTAGGAACTAACTTTCAAGTGTTGCTTTCTTCTGTTTTGTTGTTCATTTCCTTACAATGGGTCTCATTTTTCTTTGAATGGTCGTTTGTGTCTTTATTTCTTCACTGATTAAGCTGGACTGTTTTGTTGTTTGACGTAGAAGCAAAAAGTATATTTTGAGGGCCCAGGGTGAAGAAACTTGCAAACTAAAGCTTTATCCTTTTAATTATGTTTGTAAGATATCTGTTAAGTTTTTCCCCTCTGATTTCTTTTTCCTGGGGACTGCTTGGATTCCCATTTCCACCACCTCCGTGGAGATGCCTACAGATATTAACATGGCACTCTGCCTTGACCCAGAGTTCATGCTCCAGGCACTTGCACCTGAACCAGCCCAGGCCATTCAGTTTTTCCTTAAGTGTGTGTGTGTGAACTGATAAATATCTGTCTTTCTTGGGGGAAGCTCTCTAGTTCTGTTATTTAAATGGAGGAAAAGGAAAAGTTATCAGGAATGAGAGATAATGAAGCAGATACAGAAAGAGAACTCCTGGTGACAGAAAGTATGATGTGACTGCTTTAGTCTCTTTGGATTCTGGCCTTGAAATGCCTTTTGGTGTTTGGAATCCTTGAGAAATTCCAGTCTCCCTACAATAAATAATGCTGTTAGATTGTTCCATGATCATCACTTTTTTCCTGGTAAGAAGATTAAACTTCTGTTTATATTGGTTGGTCTACAGGGATCCTTTAGGTTAGCTTAGGAAATGTGAGCAGAACACTAGTATCCCACTTCTAAACAAAGGCTTCGCGAACTGTTGAGCACTTCTACAATTTTTTTCTCTTTCTGCCACAAGAAAGGCGAGTTCCTAGGAGGGGTCATGTCTTTTCCTGGGTTCCAGAACGAAGGTAGTGTGGAGCTGAACCTGCAGTCAACTGGCAAAGAACATCCATTGCTGTTTTAAGGCAATAAGAATATTGGCATTCCTTTTTACCACAGCATAACTTCATGAAAACTAATGATAAAAACATACATTTTTTGGTCTTCATCAGTTGAGGGCTACTTGTTAGAAAATTTTAACTAGCATGTTTAAACTATTAGATTTATTGATGGTTAAATCTAAAATAAAACTTTGTTGTGGGAACCTGGAAACTCTTGTTTTTACTACAGATAAAGCTGTGTCATTACAGCATTCATACTGGTATCTGGTTATAGTGATTACTGTTGTCTCCTGTATACACATTATGCTATCAGAAAGCAAAGTAGATAATGGAGAGATGAGTCCATTTAATTTTTTGGATATTTGAGCTTGTATAATTGAAAATAAATTTTGTTTAATTTAATGATTCTGAAAGTTACTTTTGTTAATGAAATTATTACAATGAAGTATCATTATCTTGGTTGAATTAGGTCATTTTTAGACCCTCATTTCCTGGTATATGCATACAACATATCAACATTGTATCCAGATTCTTCATTTAGAAAGGTAAGTTTTGCTTTTATTCCGTGTAGATTATATTTTGTATGTGGTTAAAGTGCCATTGTTGGAAAGAAAAATTACGTGTTTTTTTAATCCTCACCCAAGAATATTTTCCCATTGCTTTTTCAGAGAAAGGGGAAGGGTGAAAGAGAAACAGAAACACCTGTGTGAGAGGGACACATCTATTGGTTGACTCCCGCATGCAACCCGGCAGGGGTAGGGATCAAGCCTGCAACCATGTTATGTGCCCTTGACCGGAATCGGACCCGAGACCCTTCAGTCCATGGGCCAAAGCTCTAACCACTGAGCTTTCAGCTAGGGTGAAAAATAATGTTTTATACTCCACAGAATTATTAGGGAAACAGGTCACAAGTCCAAATATAATGTGGCAATTAACAATGAAGTCTTATTGAATAGAACAACTACTTTAAAAAAAATTTTTTTTCTTAAATATATCTATTGATTTCAAAGAGAGAAAGGGAGTGGGAGAGGGAGAGTTAGAAACATTGATGATGGGAGAGAGTCACTGATCGGCTGCCTCCTGGACGCCCCCTACTGGGATTGAGGCTGCAACCCAGGCATGTGCCCTGACTGAGAGTGGAACCAAGATCTCCTGGATCATAGTTAGATGCTCAACCACTGAGCCACGCAGTCTGGGCAAGAACAACTACTTTTTAGATTTAAAATTCAGGAACCACTTGTCCAAGAAGGACATTTAAACTACCTGGAAGTATCGATAGGAGTTTGAAAGGAAACGAACAAAAAAAATAAGTGAAAGAACTAGAAAAACCCTAAACACATTGAGTAGTTTAAATTGATATATCCTAGGACCTCAGTGGTGGGGGTAACCTTGGAAATTATAGGTGAACTACTGGGAAAGTCAGGACACAAAAGTATACTGTGTACAGAAAATGAATATGTTCACATGGGAAATGTAGGAATTTCAACTGTATCCCAAAATGCAGGTAGGAGTCAAGAAATTTTTAAAAGCATGTGAGAAAGTTAGCTTTTAGTCGGTAAGGTTCTCATTTTGCCAGAAACTACGATTAGGAAGAAGCCAGTGTTCGACAAGCCCAGCTTGGGGTTTAGACCCCAGAGTTCTCAGTGGGACCCCCATAGCTGAGGTATGTGTCTGGAACTTCAGCTGCTGCTTGTGGGAGCCTGGCCAGCCCTCTCGCTCTTCCACACTTCCTACCAATCTGTACTTTGCATTCTTGGTTATAAGGGTTCTCTCCAGCTAGTCTTCAGTTGATTATTCAGGATGGGTTTTCTATATTTTAGTTGTAATTCAAGTTTGGTTCTGGGAGTGTCAGTGTAGCTTCCACCACCATCTTGGAATCTCTTCAAAAGTAGGTATAATTCACACCAGATGGCTACTGTTGTGTTGGCTGTTGTCATTTTTTTATTTGACAACCTAAGGGAAAAGAGGTCAGTGCCCCTGACTAAATTGTCAGGTATTACATGTTTAAAAAATTCTTGCATCATACTGTTTGAAAATCATTGCTCTAGGTCAAACAGTGTTGAGAGATAATGGATTTCTCAGTCCAGGCAGCATAGTGTGACCAGGCATTCAGCTGAGACCAGAAAGGCTAATCCTTAGGAGAAAAGATCTAGAGTAAGAGATATTTTTATCACCCCATGGCCTGAAGCCCAGCAATGAGATGAGTAAGGAGGGTTACCATTAAATTATTTGCTTTCCTATACAAAATGCAATACTCTATAAAGGGTTACAACATTGTAGAGGAAGACAATAATGCACATAAGGGCAGAAATCAATGAGATAGAAAAAGGAAAAAGAATGGGAAAAATCAAAGCCCGGAAATTATTTCCTTTTTAAAGGGACTAAAAATTAACAACCTTAGTAAGACTTCTTCAGAATGAAAACTAATTCCATGAATATTAGGGATGAAAGGAGATATTACTAGTCACAGAGAAAAATAAATATTTGGGAGTATTATAAAAGCTTTACACCAATAAATCTGATAGATTAAATGAAAAGTAAAATTTTATTTCTCTGGAATACATACCCAGGTAAACGACTGGCAGGCCAAATTGTAAGTGTATGTTTATATTTTACAAGAAATTACCAAATATTTGTCAGAGTGATGTACTATCTTACATTTCCACCGGCAATGTCTAAGTATCTGCGTTCTTAAGTCTGTTTGATTGCTACTCAAGATTTAAAAAAGAATTACCCGTGTGATAGATGTGTAGTGGTGTCTCCTGTGATTCTGATTTGCATTTTCCAATGACTAATGATGTTGAACATAATTTCATGTGCTTCTTTGTGCCATTTTTGTGAAATATCTATTAAATGTCTTTTACCCATTTTCTAGTTTGACTGGTTGGTTTTTGTATTGTTAATTTTTGAGCAATTTATGTATTCTAAATACAGATATGTATTACGCAAATATGTATTCTGCCAGATGTGTGTATGCAAATATTTCCTCCCGTGTTGTAATGTGTCTGCTCATCCTTTTCATAAGGTCTCTCACTGATTAGTAATGTTTGCATTGTTGTCTTGGCCTCAGTGAGCATGTTCATGAGAGTTCATTTTAATTCTCTGTCAGGTAAACCATTTAACGTCATTTCATTAGGGTCAGTTTTGGAGATTTATCCTATTTCTTTTTTTGGACATCTTTTCCTGATTACTTTATTAATTTTTTTTTTTTTTTTGGTGTCTGCATATTAGAAGACTCTCCCAGTCTTCACCTTGTAGGAGTATACAGAAGACGATTTCACAAAACATCCTGGAAAGTGATTTTGGGGGCCTCTACTAACACTTTTCCCTCTCCAGGGAAAAGCAGGCATCTATTTTTTTCCTGCTTTCTCTTGTGCTGGTCAGGAGAAAGAATCAGTGGCATTTACCATCCCAAGCTGCTGCCTCTATTCTTTCCCTGATAATTAGATCGTGCCAGACCCTTCAGTGCTCCAGGACTGGTGAGAAAGACACTAATTCTTTGAGCAATTTGGGGGAAGTGGAGGAACTGCCTGCTTGGATCAACTCTTTCCTACCCCAGGAGGAAGCAGAGAGCTGGGATTTTTTATCCACTCACTCTGTGCAGAGTTGGGGTGGGGATGAATCAATGGTGTATAGTAAGCACCACCTGCATTGCTGCCTCAGGGGCTTGACTGTGCTCACTGGACTTGTGAGCAACCACTTTCCTCCCCTGAGTCAAGGTGAGAACTAGAGGGATTCTTTCTGATTATATTGTCAGTGCTCTGGAGCAGAATCTCTGGTGAAGCCTATTCCAGACCTCCCTACTGGCTTTGGTAGGTCGGATTTTGCATTCTTTCAGGGCGTGCAGGAGGTTTTCAGTTAGTTCCTGGTTTCTCACAAAGGGAATTTGTCTGTGAATTATTGCTGAATTGGTGTGTTCATTGGGGTATGGAGGAGCCAGGACTTCCTACTGTACCGTCTTCCTGACCAGAATTTCATTTAATTTTTTCATTGAAACAAATTTTCATAGCTGTTTTAAAATCTTTGATAGTTTCAGCATGTGGCTCATCTCAATATTGACATCAGTGTTTACCTTTTCTCATTTTTTGCTGTGATTTCCTTGGTTGTTGGTATAGTGTGTGGTTTTTAGTTGCATGTTTCACATTTAAATAATCTAAATTTGAAAGCAATCACCCAGTTTAAGTGTCGATTTAGTGTGTTCTATTGTTCTAATGAGTAGTTAGCTTTTTGGGGTCTTTTGCTATTATTTTATTGTGCTCTGCTGGAACTTCAGCTGGATTTCTCCCGATAGTGCAACCTATAGTGGTAAAAGGTACTTTGCTGGGCCAACTTGTATTGCTAGGTGGAGTTGGGTGCTGAAGAACCCATGATATGGAGAGCATTTTCTTTGGCTGTTCTCCAGCCACTGGATGTCAGTGTGTTTCTCATTTGATCTCTGCCAGTGTATCTTAGTTAAGAAAAATCCTAACTGAGAAATCTCTCATGAGGATCCTTTTCTCTGTTTGGATGCAAGACCAGGCGTTGAGAATCTGAATTGCTCTCTGCTGCTGTGTATAGTTTGGGAAACTCTCTACTTTGTGAAGGGCTTGTAGCTGCAATGGCTGCTGGCACCTGTACTGGCATGTGGAGATAGCTGCAACTGTTGCTTAGCATGGAGCAGGGTATGTTCAGCTGCTGTCAGTGGGTGGGGGATAGTGGTTAAGGCTAGTTTTGAGAAAAAGCAAATGGTTACTGATGGAGATGTATCTCTGGGAATTTAAAACGCATAAGCAAATTCATAGAAGAGAACTGGATACTAGTAAAGTTTTAATACCACAAGACTGACAAAGGAACAGGTCTGATTCTAGATATCACTAGACTTTTAAGGGAAGAAAAGGTAATATTTACTGAAAGAGAATATTGGGGGAGAACCTGGGGAGATTATTGCTATGAAAGTCCGTAGAGATGAGAACTTGAACTAAGGATGATCAAAAGGTGAAATACTAAAGACAAAAATTATTAGGAAATGTCAATTAAGGTACTTTTGAGCACCTTAGAAAAACCAAGTGAGATGTTCACATTTGAAATCAAACTAATGTTAATTACATGCAGTTAGCAGTTATAGATCATACATTGAAGAAATGCAGCTAAGAGTCCTGATTTGCTTCTGGACTCTGGGTTTGGAAAAGTAGGCCTTGGAGCGTATCTTGGTGTTGCCCAAACACAGTCAGCCCTACCAGAGCAACCACAAGCTGTGGAGTGCAGAAATATTCAAGCCAGTCACAATCAGCTTCTGAGTTGCCCTGCACCAGAGACCATCCAAAAGACTGGTAGTCCTAGCAGATCTACCTAATGCATAGAAACAAATACAAACAGGCAGCCAAATGGGGAGACACAAAAACAAGCCCAAAATGAAAGAACAAAAAAATTCTCCAGATACAGAGTTCAGAATACTGATCATAAGGACGCTGAACAGTATAAGAAAAGGAATGGAAATGCTGAAGGAAATTAAGAATGACATAGTAAAAAAAAAAATTGGAAGGAATAAACAGCAGAGTAGTGGAAGCTGAGAATCAGGTCAGCAAATGAGAAGACAGGGTAGAAAAAATAACCCAATCAGAGAACCAAAAAGAAAAAAAAAAAATTAAAAAACAGGAGGACAGTTTAAGGGACCTGTGGGACAACATGAATTGTAACAATATTCACATCGTCGGACTGCCAGAAAATGTAGAAAGGAAGCAAGGGTTAGAGAAACTGTTTGAAGAAATAATGGCAGGAAACTTCCCTAATCTGGTGAAGGAAAAAGTCACAGAAGTTTAGGAGACACAGGGAGTCCCAAGCAAGAAGCATCCAAAGAGGCCCACACCCAGACATATAATTAAAATGCTAAAAATTCAAGAGAAAGAGAGAATCGTAAGAGAAAAGCAATCTGTTACGTACAAAGGAGCCCCCGTAAGGCTGTCATCTGACTTCTCATCAGAAACCCTTCAGGCCAGAAGGGAATGGCATGAAGTATTCAAGGTAATGAAAAGCAAGGATGTGAAACCAAGACTATTCTATCCAGCAAGGCTATCATTTAAAATAGATGGTGAAATAAAGAGCTTCCCAGACAAAAAAAGGCTAAGGGAGTTTATCACCACCAAACCAGCTTTGCAAGAAATGTTAAAGGGATTGCTGTAAAAAAAAGTTGAAATAGAGAGAATGTGAAACATAGGGATAAAGAAATAAAATGGCAACATATAAGTACCTATCCAAAATAACCTTAAATATAAATGGATTAAATGCCCCAATCAAAACATAGGGTAGCTGAATGGATAAAAAAACAAGACCCAAACATATGTTGTTTACTAGAGACCCACCTCAGATCAAAAGATTCACACAGGCTGAAGAAACTCACAAAAAACTCTGGAGGACTTAAAGGAGAGATAGACAGCAATACAGTCACAGTAGGGGACTTTAACACCCCACTGACTTTACTGGATGGATATTCCAGACAAAAAATCAATAAGGATACTGATACACTAGATCAGGTGAATTAAATTGGTATTCACAAAACATTTCACCCCAAAGCTGCAGAATATGTATTCTCCTCAAATGAACATGGGACATTCTCAAGGACAGACAACACATGAGGACACAAAACAAGCCTACAAATTCAAGAAGACTGAAATCATATCAAGAATCTTCTCGGACATTTATGCCTCGGAATACTGTGCAGCTGTAAAAACGAAGGTTCCCTTCCCCTTTGAAACAGCATCGTGCGACCTGGAGAGTATTATGCTAAGCAAAATATGCTTAGTCGTAGAAAGACAAGTATCACATGATGTTACTCATATGTGGAATCTAATGAACAGAGTAAACCAATGAACAAAATAGATCCAGAGACATAGAAGCATGGGACAGACTGATGAATCTCAGAGGGAAGGCAGGTGTGAGTGGGTGGGGAGACATTAAGCTAAAAACTTACGTGCATATATGCATAACACATGGAAACACACAATAGTGTGGTGAAGGCCTAGTGGGGGAGGGATGAAGAAGGAGGGGATCAATGGGGGAAAAGGAGGACATTTGTAATACTTTCAACAATAAATATAAATTTTAAAAAAAGAAATACCAGTGTGAAAGAAAATATAAGGTAGCTTATGCAAAATTTTTATTATTTATTTATTTATTTATTTACTTATTTATTTGCACTAGTATTGATATAACTACTTGTGTACAAATTTTTATTAGAAAACATGCTTTCAATTCCTTGGGGTTATGCTTAGAAATAGAATACCTGGATCTTATGGTTATTCTAAGTTTAACTTTATGAGGAACCTCCAAACTGTTTTCCAAACCAGTTGCACCATTTAACATTCCCTTCTGCAATATTCAGTAGTTCCAAGCACTACTAATTATGTTTCCTTTTTTTAAATATATGTTTATTGTTGAAAGTATTACAGATGTCCCCCTATTTTCCCCCATTGACCTCCTCCTTCCCACTCCCTTCTTCTCCCCAGGTCTTTACTGCAATATTGTCTGTGTCCATCATATGCATATAAATTTTTCCCCCTGCATTCTTCCCTCTGAAAATCATCATTTTGTTGCATGCTTCCATGTCTCTGGATCTATTTTTTTGTCAGTTTATTTTGTTCATTAGATTCCACATATAAGTCAGATCATCTGATATCTGTCTTTCTCTGACTGGGGAACTGCCTTTTGACCCATTGATCCCACTTTTGGGAATATATCCTAAGAAGACCGAAACACCAGTTAGAATATATGCACCCCTATGTTCATAGGAGCATACTTGACAACAGTTAAGATGTGGAAACAGCCCAAGTGCTCATCAGTTGATGAGTGTATAAAAGAGGTCTTGAGCTTTTACACAATGGAATACCATGCATCTGTAAAAAAGAAGGATCTCTTATCCTTTGAGACAGCATGGAGGGACCTGGAAAGTAGTATGCTAAGCAAAATATTATTTTTCACTTTAATTGATTAGTGTAGTGAATATGAAGTGGTAACTCAGTTTGGTTTTTACTTGCATTTCCCTAATGATTGATGTTTGGTAACTTTTCAGTTGTTTCTGTTGGGCATTTTTATATGTTCTTTGGAGAAATGTTGACTTAAGTCTTCTGCATGTTTTTGACTATGTTATTTGTTTTTTTGATGTTGAATTGGACACTAAACCCTTATCAGTTATACAATTTGCAAATATTTTCTTCCATTTCATGAGTTGTGTCTTTCTAGACAATGGCTTTTGATGTGCATACTTTTTTCTAATTTTAAGGAACTCCAGTTTATTTTTTGTTGTTGTTTGTGCTTTCGCTGTCAGATCTCAGCAATGATTGCCCATTGCCATATCCAAATTTATGAAGATTTACCCCTATCATTTCTTGTAACAGTTTTATAGTTGCAGCTGTTATATTTGGATGTTTGGTCTATTTGGACTTAATTTTTGTATATAATGTGAAGTAATGATCTGATACTATCTTTGCATATAGATATTCAGTTTACCTAGCACAATTTGTTGACAAGACTCTTCTGTCTACATTGAATAATCTCAGAAGTCTTGTAAAATATCTACTAACTATAGATGTATGAATTTATTTATTAACCCTTATTTCTATTGCATTGGTCTATATATCTCTCCTAATACAGTAGCACAGTGTTTTGATTATTGTAGCTTTATAGTAAGTTTTTATTTTCAAAAAGTCTTAATCACTTTTAATTGGGTTATATATCTTTTTATTACTGAGTTGTATTATCTGTTTTTATATCTTTGATGCAAATTCTTTTTTAAAATGTATGCGCTGTACCTACATACAAAACAGACATAAATACAGAACAGACTAATGCTTTCCAGAGGGGAGGAGGGTTTGTGATACTGGACAGAAAAGGTGAAGGGATTAATATGTACAAATTGATAATTACAGAACAATAACAGATATGTAGAGTACAGCATAGAAAATATAGTCAATAATATTGCAAAAGCTATGTATGGTTCCAAGTGGGTACTGAAAACAACAAGGGAAACACATTGTAAAGTATAACTACTATGCTCTTCACTGATACCAATACAAAATAATGTTAATATAAACTGTAATTGAAAAATAAAATTTAAATTAAAAAATAAATAATGAAATAAAATATGTGTATTGTGAACCATTTCATCTAGTCCATGGCTTGCTTTTTTATTTCCTCCATAATAGTTTTTAAAAAAGTAATAGACCTTATTAGTTTCAGCAAATTTAGCTTTAAGAAAGATGAAGTGGAAAGTACAGAGTTCCCCTTCACCTTCCCAACTTCTTAGTTACCCCATTATTAACATCTTGTATTAGTATGGTGTTTGAATTACTATTTATAAGCCAATATTGATACATCACTATTAATTAAATCTTATAGCTTCCATTAGGTTTCATTTTCTCTGTTTCTCGTCTGCTTGTTTGCTTATTTTTTTTTCTAGATTCAATTGATAGATAAATATTTATTGCCATTTTATTGTTCATATTATTTTTCTTTTTTTCCTTCTTCTTAAAGAAGAAGTACTACTTTAATGTATTACATTTCATGTAATACTAGTTTGGTGTTGACAAACTCCTTTAGCTTTTTCTTATCTGGGAAGCTCTATATGTCCTTGGATTTTAAAAGCTTCTATCAAAATTATAGAATTTAGAATTATAGCAAGGACTATTTGGGGGGATTCATAGGCAGAAGAGGGTTAAGAGAAAGAAATTGTAGGTAGATCAAAAGGAAATGGGATATCTGGTGAATAATATTGGTTAATGGCTAAATGTGCATGTTTCATAATGTCTATGAAGTGAGTATAAAACCCAAAACTTTATTTACAAATCATTCATGAATGTACCTTTATGTACTCCTGTTTAGGGACACTGCTTTTATCAAGGATATGCTGCAGAGATTCCAAAATCAGCTGTGACACTTAACACCTGTTCTGGACTCAGGTAATGGCATATTCCAGATATGTGCATGATTGACAATCTTGTGTAACCCCTTAATTTTTAGAAATTCCTTGAATGATAGAGTGAAAGCAAAGAAAATACAGGTTTGATTATATTTCTTCTCAGATATTTTCTTTTCCTCATCCTCCTGTTACATTTTTTATATTTAGTTGTCTCTATCCTAGGCTTACTGTCATAAAATTTATTTAGAAAAGGTCCACTAGTATAAATAATATTCATATGTATTAGCCATACTAGAACCATAGTGACTTGTAAATGCTATAATAGACAGGAGGTATAAAATTGAGTTGAAAGTTAATTTGAGTAAAATGGGATGATTCTTAGATTAAATTAGACCTTAAAGACCACTGTCAAATTTCTATAAAATGTTTTTATTTAGCATTGACTTACATTTCTCAGTGCGAAAAGTGTATTAATTACCATTATGTGTTTTTATATGTTTAAATATTCAGGGGATTATTGCAGTTGGAGAATATCAGTTACGGGATTGAACCATTGGAATCTGCAGCTGATTATGAGCATGTTCTTTATCAAATAAAGAATAATGAAGTTGATTTTCTCCCCTTACAAGATAATCATCCTATGATTCAACTGGGAGATCAGGCCTACAGGATTCTGGTGAAGTCAGAAGTAAGCAACCATTTTCTGAAATCTCCATTTTTGCTACTTTTGATAAACTTACATTGAAATTTGTTACATTTGGAAAACAAACAAACTGATATTAATTATATTAAAATCTTCTCCTGTAAGATATTTATTTTAAATATGTGAATATATGAATTAAAATATGTTAATTCATATAAAATTTAGAAATGAAATGTAAGTCAACTTGAAGAATAGTGAATGAATGTAAAAACATTCAGATAAGACCATATGCATTTTCTGTGCTGTTTGAACCTGAGGTATATAACATTTTTATTCCTGAATTTATTTAAAAAAACTGAAATGCACATAGCCAAGTCTTGAGATACAAGATTGAATGTGTATTTCATAAAAATACAACTTCGTGTTGTACTTTGAAATAAATGATGCTTTCTTTCAAAAGCCAAAAAAAAAGTAATAGATATAAACACATATTCTTACATTTCCCTATTTGCAAGTATTGTTACTGAATTTGCATCTTACTAATAGAATGATACTCAAATTTGCTGATTATTACTTTGTCAGTATTTTCCTTGCCAATACTTATTTTTTCTTTGTAAAAAAGTAGTATTTTGACAGAAAATTTAAAAGCAGAAAAAGTCAAGATGTTGTACCAAATATCATTATCTAGAGATAGTGCTTTTAGAATGTTGGTCCAATTCTTTGAACATATCTACTTATAAATGTGGATTTATAAATGTATAGATTTTTTTAAACAAAAAATAGCCTATGTGTGTTTCTTTGCAATTTCCTTTTTGCTCTTAAGAGGACAATGCATTTTTAAAATTTAATTATTTGAATTTAATAAAATGTAATTTAATTATTAAATTACCTTTGCATACATTATTTTAAATAATATTGGTTAACATTGATAAAAATATTAAATATATGTATAAATAAGAAAAGTAAGAATGGACCACAATGCCATTGCCTAGAGGTAAAAGTCGTTGTGGAATCCACTGCAATCATTTTGATGTATATTCTGTTACACAAGTTTATATATTTATGCATAAACTTAAAATTTATATACTTAAAAAATTGTCATATTTTGCATATCTATAATTTTATTTAATCAATACATGGACTTCGTGAATGTGTCATTTTTTTAAATGTTCACCAAAGGTTATTTTTTCTATTCCTTTTCAGATAGAGTAGAAGTGAGGGGTGGGGAGACATCGATGTGAGAGAGACACATCAATTGGTTGCCTCTAGCACAGGCTCGTCCAGGGTGGGGATCAAGCCTACAACTGAGGTATGTGCCCTTGACCAGAATCAAACCAGGGACTCTTCAGTCCATGGGCTGATGCTCTAACCAGTGAGCAAAAGGGCTAGGGCAATGTGCCAAATTTTTGAGCACTAACACTTTGCTTATAAATACTTGCATGTAAAAGTGGGCATTATTTTCAAAGGTTTTTTTACTTCCTTTTTTACCTTCCTCCTTAAGAATATTTATACAATTTTTCATTTTAACATTATTGGTTAAATAAATCAATCTCTGTCCACATGTTCTCATCAAATTGGATTTTTGTTAAAGAGAAGTCAAACAAATAGCAATGAATAAAACTGAAATTTAATTTACGATAAACTGCCTCTCATTGTTGCTCTAATTTGCTTTTATTTATTTTGGCAAAGGTATTGGTTCCAGTACAGTTAATAAAATGATTGTTTCAGAAATCCATAAAAATGATAAAACATAAACATATATAGAGACAAAAGTTTCATTTTTAATGAAACTAGGATTTGACCCCAACCTTTATGGCAGCTCAGGAAAACACCTGCATGTTGCAATACAACACTGGACACAACTTAAGGCAATTGTGCAACTAAAGTAGAGCTCTATCACATAAAGTAGTTAAAAAACCTTTGAAGGATTCTATGAAGACTCTTCTGTGGCAAAGGGAATACCTGAAGGGGGAACATGCTTTGGGAAAGACAAATAATACTTCTCATGCAGCCAACCCATTCCAAAGAATCATCAATAAGAGAGGGATTGAAAGAGATAGAGAGATAACATATAGTCCCAGCTGCCATGGTTTGAAATCCCAGTCTGTCAGTCCATAGCCACATTAACTTGGGGAGTAAAAAAATCTTCCTGTGTTTACATTTTCATCTCTAAAAAGCCAATAAGGAAAATAATATCTAACTATTACAATTATTTCACAGGTCAAATAAGTTTATAAATGGAAATAACTTAGCATAACATGTGGAGAAAATAAGCAATCAATAAATGTCACTCCTACTACGATTAATATTTACTAACCATATTTTCTAATGTAGTAGAGCAAAATAATTGGAAGTAATTAGAAGGGTTCAGATATAAAACTAAATGTAATCATAAAATAAAAGAGAGACAAAAATTTCAGAACCTAGAAGAAACCAGGGATATCACTGCAGGAATGGAGATAATTAGGTGTTGGCATGTGTTTCTGAATTTGTTCTTACACAGACAAACAAGCCCCAAATGAAAGAACCAGAGAAATCTCCAGAAAGAGAACTAAATGAAATGGAGAGAAACAATCTATCAGATACAGAGTTCAGAATACTGATTGTAAGGATGCTGAACAACATGAGAAAAAAGAAAACTATGAAGGAAATGAAGAACGACATAAAAATAAAGAATACATTGGAAGAAATAAATAGCAGATTAGAGGAAGCTGAGGATCGGATCAGTGAATTAAAAGACCTGGTAGAAAAAAATCAATCAGAGATCCAAAAAGAAAAAACAAAGAACAAAAGGAATAAGGGAGCTGTGGGACAACATGAAATGGAACAATATTCACACCATAGGAGTGCCAGAAGAGGTCAAAAGTAAGGAAGGGTTAGAGAACCTGTTTGAAGAAATAATGCCAGAAAACTTCCCTAACCTGGTGAAGGAAAAAGTTACACAAGTTCAGAAGACACAGAGAGCCCCAAGCAGGAAGAATCCAAAGACTCCCACGCCCAGACACATCATAATTAAAATGCCAAAAATTCATGACAGAGAGAATCTTAAAGGCAGCAAAAGAAAAGCAATCTGTTACTTCCAAAGGATTTCCCATTAGGCTGTCAGCTGATTTCTCATCAGAAACTCTACAGGCCAGAAGGGACTGGCATGAAGTATTCAAGATAATGCAAAACAAGGATCTGAAAGCAAGAGTACTCTATCCAGCAAGATTATCATTCAAGACAGATGGTGAAACAGAGCTTCCCACACTCAAAAAAAGGGTAAAGCTGTTTATCACCACCAAACCAACATTGCAGGAGATGTTAAAGGAACTGCTGTAATTAGAAGTAGAAATAGAAGCATTGCAAGAAATGTTAAAGGGACTGCTGTAATAATAAGAAACAGAGAGAGAAACATAGGCATAAAGAACTAGAATGGCAATAAATAAGGACCTATCAATAATAACCTTAAGAACTTTAAGGGAGATATCAACAATACAGTCACATTCATGGACTTGAACACCCAACTGTCTCCACTGGATAGATCTTCTAGACAAAAAGTCAACGAAGAAACAATGATTAAATGGCACACTAAATCAGATGGATTTAATTGATATTTACTGAACATTTCACCCCAAAGCTACAGAATATACACTCCTCTCAAGTGCACATGGGTCATTCTCAAAGGTAGACCACATGTTAGGACACAAAACCAGTCTCTACAAGAGACTATAATTTCAAGAATATTGAAATTATATCAAGCATCTCAGATCACAAGGGCATGAAACTAGAAATCAACTACAGAAAAAAACACTCAAAAACATTCAAACACCTGGGGGCTAAATAGCATGTTATTAAACAATGAATGGGTTACCAATAAGATCAAGAAAGAAATCAAAAACTTCTTGGAAACAAATGAAAATGAACACACAACAACCCAAAGTCTACAGGACACAGTGAAAGCAGTCCTAAGAGGGAAGTTCATAGCACTGCCGGCATACCTTAAAAAGGCAAGAAAAGTTTTTGGTAAACTCTCTGACGCTACAACTTAAGGAAAATACAAAATTTAAAGCGAATGAAAGCCAATGTTGATATTATTTTATATTCTCATACTGCCTGATAGGTGCCGTGTATTGTTTTAAGAGTTTTACATATAACCTGCTTTTCAAAATCTTTCAACGATTCTAGAATTAATACCATTACCAAATGTAGGCAACAATGTGAAACCATTGGCACTTAATTCTTGGTGAAAATGCAGAATGATCAAATGACTTTAGCAAACAATCTGGCACTTTCGGATCACTTTACACACCCACAATTGTTATATGACTCAGGTATTCCATTTCTAAGTACCGAGAAAAACGAAAGAAAAAACTGCACAAAGACCTGTATAAATATTAATATTTATAACAGCTTTATTTATAATAGCTAAACTGTCTGCATAAGCCAAATGATCAACAGGTAAATGTATAAACAAGTTGCAATGTATATCTTCAATGGCACACTACTTAGAGCAAAACTAATGAATTACTAATAATCATAACACATATGAATGCAGAATGAAAGAAACCAGATAGAAATGAGTACATG